TTCAGCTTACCAAGAAGGTTAGTAAAACAGAGTTACGTGTAGACACCATCACCGCCAAGGCCCTGGAGGAAGAAGAAGGTAGGCCGAGGGCTGAGCCTGCCGAGGAGACTGAAGACCTGATACTCGATCCGGCCAAGCCGGAAAGAGTCTTGAAGATTGGAGCCAAGCTCCCCGAAGACTCGAAGGCTAGCATCACCGAAGCCCTCCGCGCCTACTCCATTGTTTTTGCATGGGGGCCGGAGGATATGCCAGGAATTGACCGAAGGGTTATCACCCACCGCCTAGCGGTGGACCCTTCGGCCAAACCAGTACAACAACGAAGAAGACCCCTCTCGGCCGAGAGAAGGGAGTTCGTGAAGAAGGAGGTATCCATGCTCCTCTCCATCAAACACATTAAGGAGGTGAAATACCCTTCTTGGTTGGCAAACGTAGTCCTCGCACAAAAGCCTCCTACTTTCCGCATGTGCGTGGATTACACGGATCTGAATAAGGCATGCCCTATGGACCCCTTCCCTCTGCCGAACATTGATCAACTAGTGGATGAGACCGCGGGATGCGAGATCATGTCATTCCTCGACGCATTCCGCGGATATCACCAAATCTACATGCATGAGGAGGACGCTGAAAAAACTGCCTTCATGACACCCGAAGGCATTTTCTGCTATCTTGTGATGGCCTTCGGCCTCAAAAATTCAGGCGCCACCTACACACGCATGGTGGCTAGGGTTTTTCAAGCTGTCCTAGGACGCACCATGGAGGCTTACGTTGACGACATGATCGTCAAAAGCAAGAAGGCAGGCACTCACGCCGACGACCTCCGGGAAATCTTTGCCATCATGCAGAAATTCAATCTCCGGCTGAATCCGAAGAAGTGCACCTTCGGCGTACAAGGAGGGAAGTTCTTAGGCTACATGGTCAGCCGAAGGGGTATTGAGGCCAACCCCGAGAAGATTCAGGCTATCATCAACATGGAGCCTCCACGCAACGTAAAAGAGGTTCAGCGGTTGACGGGTCGCCTGGCAGCCCTCAACCGTTTCCTCTCCAAGTCAGCCGAGAGGGCCCTCCCCTTCTTCCAAATCATGAGGAAGACGGCGGGTTTTCAATGGACATCTGAGTGTCAAGAAGCCTTCGACGAACTTAAGAAGTACCTTTCTTCACCCCCAGTGCTCTCCAAACCAAAGGTGGGGGAGACTTTATACTTATATCTCGGTGTTAGCCCTGCGGCTATCAGCTCAGTACTAATCCGAGAGGAAGACGGCATCCAACATGCCATCTTCTACGTCAGCAAAACCCTCCGGGAGGCCGAACTAAGGTATTCTCCCGTTGAGAAGACGGTGCTAGCCATCGTTTGGACCGTCAAGAAACTTGGCCACTACTTTCAAGCTCATCCAGTCCAGGTGCTCACTCATCAGCCCCTCGGCGCCCTCATGAGGAGTCCCACAAGCTCCTCTCGGATGGTGAAATGGGCCATCTTCCTCAGCCAATACAACATAGATATCCGCCCGAGGCCTGCCATCAAGGGCCAAGCCCTGGCAGACTTCGTAACGGAATGCACCGCGAGATCAGCGGTGGATGAGGAGCCTTCGGCACCCCTTGATGAGTGGTGGACCCTCTATACCGACGGCTCCTCGGCTACCAGAGCATGCGGAGGGGGAGTAGTCCTCATCACACCCGAAGGCTTCCGCGCCTATTATGCCATCCGCTTCTCCTTCAAAGTCTCCAACAACGAAGCCGAGTATGAGGCCCTCCTCTGTGGCCTTCGGCTGGCAGCAAACCTGAAGGCTAAAATGATCCACGTCAAGTGCGACTCTAAACTTGTCGTGGGTCAAATTTCCGGGGAGTACGAAGCCAAGGAAGGGAGGATGAAACAATACAAGGAGGCCGCCAAGGAGTTGCTCAAGGTATTTGAGGCACATTCCCTCACCCAAATACCGAGGGCTCAAAACTCTGAGGCCGACATTCTGTCCAAGCTCTCGGATGAATCCCCCGAGCACCTCTCAAAAATTGCAAGAATCGAGGAGCTCAGCCTCTCAAGCATCCACGCAAGCCCCATTATGAATATTAACCTAAGGCCGGAGGATTGGATCTCCGACATCATCACCTTCATCACCACGGGGCAATTGCCCCAAGACAAAGCCCGCGCCAAGTTAGCAAAGCTGAGGGCTCCCAGCTACGCCATCGAAAACGGGAGGCTCTACAAGAGATCCTACAACGGCACCCTCCTTCGGTGCCTTCATCAGGATGAAGCCGAAGTCGCCATGGAAGAAGTGCACAGTGGCACTTGCTCAGCTCACCAGGGACCCTTCTCCATGTCCCGAAGGCTCATTGTTCAGGGCTACTTCTGGCCCACGATGGCTAGAGACTGTGCTGACCTAGCCCGGAGGTGCACCGCTTGCCAACACTTTCAGAAGGCCCCCGGCAGACCGGCGGTCAACTACGCTCCCATCAGCACCGCTATACCCTTCTCCAGATGGGGGATTGACTTAGTAGGCCCTCTGCCGAGGGGTACCTCCAACAATAGGTATATCATTGTGGCCATTGACTACTTCACCAAATGGGTGGAGGCGGAGCCCCTCGCCAGCATCACTGAGGCCCGGTGCCGCCACTTTGTTCTCAAAAATATCCTCACAAGGTTTGGCGTCCCCCAACAAATCATCTCCGACAACGGGACTCAATTCGAGGCAGCCCCCTTCTGTGCCCTCCTGGAGGCATGGGGCATCAAGCACACCTTTTCGTCCGTTGCCTACCCTCAGGGCAACGGACAAGTAGAAAATGCCAACCGCACCCTCCTCGAGGGGTTGAAGAAAAAGCTGGAAGCCGAAGGGGGAGGCTGGGTAGAAGAGCTTCATAACATCCTATGGGCCTACCGCACCACCCCTCGGCGTGCAACAGGTGAGACACCCTTCTCCCTATGCTATGGCTTTGAGGCTAAGGCTCCAACAGAAGTGACTCTTCCCACCCGAAGGGTGGAACAGTATGAACCCGAAGTCAACGACGCAAACATGGCCCTCGACCTTCATCTCATCTCAGAGCGCCGAGAGCAGGCTTTCCTCAGGGCCGAAAACTACAGGAGGCAAGTCAAAGGATACATCGACGCCAAGGTCCGCTCCCGGGAATTCCAGGTGGGAGACTACGTCCTCCGACGAAGGGAGGCCAGTCTACCCACCGAAGGAGGAAAGATGGCACCCAAGTTTGAAGGCCCCTACACCATCTCAGCCATCATCAAACCGGGGACATACAAGTTAAAACGTCCTAATGGGACAGAGGTTCCTAGACATTGGAATGTGCACCACCTAGTGAAGTTTTACCAATGAGTGGCCAAGCCCTCATCCTCAACAAGTGTAAATGATCAATGGCCCAAGGCCCCATCTGTTTTTGAAGAATAATCAAAAGGCCAAGCCTTCATCACCTACGTATTGTACAAACGGCCCAAGGCCCCCCTTTCTCCTACACATGGGTGGCCGAGCCCTCATCTCTCCACCAAAATAGGCCCAAGGCCTCTCCCTCTGATGAGGGGGAACAATAATTTAGATACCAAGTACCAAGTGTATGGGTCACCCCCATCACTTTTTGAAAACACCAAGTGTTCTCTCAGTAAGCCGTACCCCACGAGGACGCAATCATGTATACATTATGCATATTATACAGACTCTCCTAAAAAAAAAAAAAAAAAAAAAAAAAAAAAAAAAAAAAAAAACGGGGGGTGCAATACCCCTCGGCTCCGGCTGGTACCAAGTGCCCCCGGCTATTTGTGTTCCACACACAAATAAAACCCTTCCCAGGAACGCTTTCCGCGCCATCCCCCAAGGGGAGGCAGGCAACGGACCATGTCCCGGGCCCAGGATTCGACTTCCACAAACGAAACGCTCCCCGCGCTATCCCCCAAGGGGAAGCAGGCAACAGACCATGTCTCGGGCTGAGGGGACGACTTTCAAAACCGAGGCGCTTTCCGTGCTATCTCCCAAGGGGAAGCAGGCAACAGACGATGTCTCGGGCCGAGGAAACGACCCTCAAACCCTTCGGGATATCGGAAGGTCATTCCCGAAGGGGGAGCCAACGGTTTGTTCCGTTGCCTCCTGTATAGGCCAAGCCTTTCCTAGAAACCAAGTTTCTAGATGCCTCTCCTACACCATCTAAAAAAAAAAAAAAAAAAAAAAAAAAAAAAAAAAAAAAAAGAAGAAAAGAAGATGTGTAGGGGGGAAGGAACTCCCCGGATACTATTCTCCCCGGAGGCTCAACACTTCGGATATACATTCCCGAAGGCTCCTACAAAGGCACAAGAAAGTCTCGCAACGACAAGTCATCTGGCTACATAGCCGAAGGCTTCATTGCACGAAACCTTGGAGTACAAGACTTCCACCGGAGGCCCAAGAAGATTTCGGCTGGATCAAAGTCAACCATGTAACATGCCGAAGGCTACACAAAGTTCTAAGGCTGGATCAAAGTCAACCATGTAACATGGCGAAAACTACACAAAGTTCTAAGGCAGGCTAAACCTACGTCTACACAAACCGGAGGCTTCATGCCGAAGGCAGAATATCACCAAGCTCATTCCAACGATCTCAACAAATCTCAGAATTTCACTAAGTCCATAATCTTGGACCCCTCGGCAACTGTACACACCGGGGGCCCAAGCGACTCTTACGCCCGAAGGCTAACCACAACACCTGTTGAAATTTTGTGGAAAAACGACTAAGTCCACAAATGTGGACCCTTCAGGAGGGTAATTCTTCACCCACAGACTCATGACCGATGGCCCCCAAACTACTTGGCAATAGCCAAAAGCTACACTACAAAACAAAGGATTCCAGGCTTCCCGGAGGCATTGTACGCAACTTCACTTGGGAAATTTCCTAAATCCAATTCATCCTATCCCCCGGCACTACTACTACGAACATCCGAAGGGGGTTGGTCCTACGCTACAACCGGAGGCTTACTGCCACAAACTTACGTCATTCAACCAAACATTGCAGATAAAGGAAGCAATCATAAAGAGGAAATTGCAAAGACGGAGGCATTCAATCAACAAGAGCCCGAAGGCGATCATTCATTCATCCAAGAAAAATATTTAAAATACAATCATGTTTCATCACAAAGTATGGCCGAGGCCGGGGACTACAGACTATTACAACATTACACTTGGTAAAACTTCAAGCTGCAACATCTTTTGTTGTATCTCCCTTCGGTTTGGAGGAGGCGTCATCCTCAGCTTCTCCTTCATCATCCGAGGCCAGCCTATCCAGCTCCGAGTCCTCCAGAAGCTGCCTCTCTTCGCCTTCTGGAAGGGGAATCCTGACGTCTTGGAGCAGGGGGGGAAGGCCGTAAGGCGTGGGATCAAAGTCCTTGGGGTCCACCCCAAAATGCCGAGCCAGCTTCCGGTAGAGCATGGCTTGCGTGAAGTACTGGCCCCCCTCATAGAAACTCTTCCCCTTCAGAGCAAGCCACATGGCCCCGGGGCCTTTGACCCAATCATCCACCGAAGTCTCCACGACCGAAGCCAGCCACGGTTTTTGCTCTTCAGACCTCCACCCCTCGGCAACATAAGAGGCAACGGCATCCTCGGCAGCTTTAGCAACGGCTTCGGCCTTGGCCCTTTCGGCTTCCTCGGCGGCTGCTATGGCGGCCTCAGCAGCAGCCCTCTCTGCCTCAGCCTTCCCCTGGGCGATGCCCTCGGCCCTCGCCTCACTCTTGGCCCCCTCCAGCTTCTGCTCGGCCTGCCGAAGGGCCTCCTCCAACATAGCGAGCTGTCTGATGGCCTCAGTGTTATTGGCAATGAGCTTCCTCGTCACCTCGTCAGACTTCGCCTTCTCGAGGCGGTGCTGTTCCGCCCTGCGGACAAGTTCCCCGAAGGCCAAGCTAGCCTGCAAGCAGACAGGGGTACACCTGGGATCAGATTATGCAAAGGAAAAGGAACACAATAACAGAGGATTCCAAAGGTCGAAATACTTACAGTGGCCGAGGCCTGGAGGGCCTTGAGCTCGAGGGCTTCGTCCCCGAACCGGCTAAGGGTGGACCTATCCACCGAAGGGGTGGCACCCCTCAAGAATTCCCTCGGGTCGAGGGTGCCATGCATGATGGCTGTCCCCTTCTTGATGGGGAAGTGTACTGTTTCAAGGGGCCAGGCACCCTCGACAAGATCCTCCGGGGGAGCAGTGGCAGACGATTGGCCGGCTGGGGGGTCATCAATGATCACCACGGGGGTATCCTTCGGCTCAACGTCCCCCTTCAGTTTTTTTCCTTCCGGAGGCCTGACGCCCTTCCCGGCGTTTTTTCGCTTGAGCCCCCCCTCCTTGGAGCCTCCGGCATCAGAACCGGCGCCAGCGATTACAACCCCCTTCGGGGGCCCGTGACCCTCAGGGGTCTCCTGCTTCTTGGAGAGGACATCTCCCTGCGGCTGTACCGGGGGCCTCTCCTCCTTCTTCTTCTTGTCCTTGGCCAGTTGCCGGGACAGCTTGGAGAATGCCTTCGGGTCCATAAAATCGCCTGCAAAAGAACATCAAGGAAAAAGTTAGTCAAAAGCAAATCAGGGATTTGCATCTCTAAGTACTAACAGTAATGGCCCTCGGCAACAACCTCTAACACCCGGAGAGCCCCGGTCAAGGAGAGGATATCTCTCGTCTTTCTCCCCTGGCAGGCGATACCGCCGGAATTCCAGCTTGAACAGCTCTTCCGGGAGCGTGGCGGCCTTGATGGTTGTCAGCTTCTCTGAACCCGGAGGCTTCGCCTTCAGTTTCTTCCCATCACTCTCAAGGGCGGCGTTGCCTACCTTGGGGTGCCTCCGGAAATGATTGCGGAGAGGCCTCGGGAAATCAGCTCCCAGCATCCTCAGGTAGCAGAACCGATCCTTCCATCCCTTGTGGGACGAGGGCACCTCTGAAAACAGCCTCCATGCCGGCAGCTGTTGAAGGTTGGCGAAGCCTTCACTGTTTGCGGCCCCCCCTCGGCAAAGGTTGAAGGACAGGAAAAATTGGTCAAGAGAAGGTTCCACCCCCCGGGAATCACACAGAGAAAGGAACCCCGCCAAGTATGAATGGCTGTTGGGGGTTAACTGACAGGGAGCGAGGCCTACGAACCGGAGGTACTGCACGACGAAGGGGTGCAAGGGGAAGCGGAGGCCCAACTCCACCGAGAGGATATGCACAGCAAAGCAGCCTTCGGGGGGAGATAACAGCACGTCGTCAGGACCTGGCACCACCACCTGTGCCGACGGGCCCACTAAGAGCTGAGTCTTCAGATACTCCGCCTCCACAGCCTTCGTCTTCAAATCTAGCGCGGCTGTGTTGAGGTAGGAATGTCCTTCGGGAATTCCCACCGGCTGTCCTGCATCTACCGCAGCCTGTTTCTTCTTCTGGACAGCCTTCTGCTTCTTTCCCTTCTTCCCCGAAGCCACCCGGAGGGGCACTGCGTCAATTGGCCGGGAGCTACTCGTTTCACCGGCGCCTCGCGAAGGCAAAAAAGCAACCGTGACACGTTGCCTCTCCTTCTCCTCCTCTTCCTCGGCTACCTGAAGCGCGAGGGCCATCTCCTCGTCCTCAGCGACCTGTTCGAAGTCTTCGGCTTCGACCTCAGCATGAAGGTTGCTTTGTACCTCTCTCGCCACCTCAGAATCATTGTTGGACGAAGCCTCGCTCGATGACTCCATACCCAGGTAGTTTTCAGATTGGGCGGGGGCTTCCTCCGAGATGTTTTGGGAGTCGCTTGCCGAGGACATCTTTCCGTAGAGTAAGGAGGAAGATTGGAAGAGGATACTAACTAGGGGGAACTAAAAACACTTAATCTAAGGCCGAAGTAGCTAAGTATACTGAAGAAACGAAGAACTGAGGAAGAACTGACCTTAGAAATAGGGTTTGATCGAAGCAAGGACTTTCTCTCTCTAGAAATTTTGGCAGAGCTTCGCTATCGCATAAAAACGCACAAGGAAACTGAGCTCCGCCTTGGGGTACTTATAGGCCTTCAGCCTCGAGAATTGGGCCTCCGTTTGAAAAGCCATCATTACATGCCGCCGATTTGACCAATGGGCGCCATCCGCCCACTCTCAGCCACCAAAAACTTGACACGTGGGACCCCTCTCCAACGGCTCTATTCCAACGGCTCTGTTTTAAAAACTTGAGGCGAGCTCATCTTTGCAGCCTCCGGCTAACACTCCCACAGCCTTCAGCCAATGCATTCCAACATAGCGCCTTCAAGCCTGCGGCAGCATAAGCGCCTAGCTTATCAATGATATCACCCCTCGGGTTTGCATCAACACATCATAACTCCTTCAGCCCGAATTAACCTTCGGCCCAAAGGAGTGGGGGACTGGGATACACCCCTCGGGAATCATACAAAAACAAAAATTCCCTCATGCAAAGATTTACAATTGACGCATGTAGCCTCCGGGCACCAGAGCAGAAACCCCCCGGGGTACATGCTCTAATATACCCTTCGGCAGAGGCAAGATATCACAAGTTTTCCCCAAGTCACTTGCGGGAATGAAGCAGCCCTCATCACAACACACGCGGGAAATACATCTATGCTTCCCTCAGAGAACCCTCGACATATGAGGGACTGAGGGGATCCCCCGGCAGACATACGAAAATCATGAATACCTTCCTTCAGAAAACCCTCGACCTGTGAGGGACTGAGGGAAGCCTTCGGCAATCAGGAGAAGACGAGTTCCCCAGCAAAGGCACCCAGCGAAATGATGAAGCCTCCAGAAGAAGCAACACATCTACTCCTTTTCCCTCAAGTACCTTTCGGCAAAAGGAGTGAGGGACTCCTGATGGAGTATATGGCCCAGGAACCCCCGGCCCATAGACTCCTACTTCTCCTACACAGGTCCATTAAGCCCAGAGAACAACTCAGGCCCAAATACAACGGCCCAAGCCTCAAGGTAGCCCAGAACGCACACTGGGATGCCTTCGGCCTCCTTGGCCGAGGGCTCCAGAACTCGCAGGATAGGTCTTTCTGGCATAAGAAGCTGCTGGGAGAAAACGGGCGAAGACATGAGCTTTCGGCATTCATATGCCCTCGGCTACACGAGGAGCCTTCGGCTACACGAGGAGCCTTCGGCTACACAAGGAGCCATCCGCTACACAAGAAGCCTTCGGCAGAACCAAGCCCTCGGCCACACCAGGGAGCCCCCGGCTAAACAAGGAGCCTCCGGCTGAACAGGCTCAATCACCAAAGATTCCTTTTAGAGACAGCCAACCACCGCATTTAATGCCACGTCACATCCGCCAACCGCATTCAATGCGGTTGACGTACCACTGCCGGTGCCACTAGGCTGATGTGACCCTTCGGCCGTTGGATTACTGACACATGTCCTCTCATCGCATTTATTGCTGCTATAAATAGCAGCCCTTATTCTCCTTGTAAACCACGCTGAGTTCATTTAATAAAATCGACTCTCTCTCCTCCTATTTATTCTGACTTCTCTCTAGTTATTCCTGCAATAACCCTTCGGATAAGATACCCCCCGGGTAGACTGTCCATCAGATTGAATCTTCCCCTATCCCCCTCGAAACATACAATATTTCCTTCATCATCCTTGAGTTCTAACACTTTGGTGTAGCAATCAACCTTTGCATGGTGCTTTTCAAGCCAGTCCATGCCAAGTATGGCATCAAACTCAAGCATAGCTAACGGTACAAAGTCACCCTTTAGGCAGTGCTCCCCTATCTTCACATCACATGAAGGATAGTAGTCATTTCGTTCAACATCATCCCCTAGAGGCGTAGATACCAAAAGGGTTTGCGTAATTGGTATTAAAGGTGTGCCTAATCCCACGGCAAACGCCTCACTAACGAATGAACGTTGTGCTCCCGTATCGATGAGGATCCTCGCCTCCGTTCCGTTAATCTTTAGCGTCCCTACATTTATGAGTTATGTAAGGTACTTTCCCTACCCAAAATTGAATTGTAGGCTTCGAAAAAGTTCGTTCCTTAAAATATATAGCAATACCCGGTTGGGTACACCTTTGTACCCGGTCGGGTATCCAATCCAGAAGCATCCCTCTTGTTATACCCGGTCTGGTATCACCAGCGGGTATGGAAATTTGGCATACCCGGTCGGGTAACCCGTTGCACCCGGTCGGGTATCCATTCCAGAAGCCCGCGGGTATAAATTTTCATCATACCCGGTCGGGTAACCTACTGTACCCGGTCGGGTATCCGTTCCAGTGGGTTTACCAGGCCAAAATCTCAGTATACCCGGTCGGGTGACCTGCCTTACCCGGTCGGGTATCAGCCTGGTTCCGTTGGATTTCCCTCGATTCGACCCTAAGTCAGTTTGCAAATGACCCCTAGGACTTATAACTTTAGCATAAGCCTAGAAACATATAAAATTTTAGTATATTACCTGCAACGGAGTCCGGGTTTGCTCGCGCATCCGCTTCGGTCATTGCATAGACTCGTGCCTGGGTCCTACCTTGGTTAACGGACGCGGCATTGCTTGCCGTAGGTCCACCCCTTCCCGTGCTGGCCTGAGATGGTCCCGCACGTCCCCTACTAGATGTAGGTCCTTCAAAGGTCCCTGGGGGTCCTTCTCCGTTAAGCATTGGGCACGAGAGTTTGAGGTGACTCGTGCTACCGCACTTGTAGCACCGGGGTGGTGCATTGCACTTCCCGGCATGATTCTTGTTACAGTTTGGACACCTCTGTGGCCTCACGCTCCCTGAGCTGTGCCCTTGCCCTCCTGGACCCTTGCTCTTCTTTGCCGGTGGTTCCGGCGCCCTAAATGAACTTCCATTCCCGGCGTGATGTTTCCGAGAATGGTCTTGGGGTCCAGAATTTCCCCATCTTCTCTTCTTCGCCTCTTCGGCGTCTCTCTTCTTCCTTTCGTTCCACTTGGCTTCCCCAAGTAGCCCCTGATCCACAATCTCACTAAAGGTCATGTGATGATTGTAGGTGGCTCTATCACGGATATCCAACTGTAGGGTATCCCAGAAGTGATTAGCCATGCGATTCTCATCCATGGCGTACTCAGGTATGTATCGTGCCAAGTCCCGGAACCTCTGTTCCAATTGCCTTACCGAGCACCCATCCTCCTGTGTCAAGGTCATGTACTCCTTCCTCTTCTGGTTCTTCTCAAACTCTGAATAGTACTGGTTATAAAATTCTACTTCGAATTTCTCCCAGGTGGTCTCACCGTGGAACTTCCCTTCCACGCCTTCCCACCATACAGCAGCTACTCCCTCCAGTAGCCTGGTAGCAACCGTCAGCTTTATGTCAAGCCCGATCTGCATATCCCTAGCAGCCTCATTCAATTTCTTGATCCAGTCGGCAGCCACCTATATATCACCCTTGCCATCGAATGACTTACACCCCAAGGCCCTCGCCTCCTTGAGGTATTTGGAGATTCTTACACAGAAACCTCCGCCCTGTACCCCCTGTGTCGCCACAGGAATGGCCACTAAAGCTCCCCGGCTTCCCTGACCCGAACCTCCCTGAGAAGCACGCATAGCTTTGCGCCTAAGATCTCTTCTTAGCTTCTCCTTTTGATACCATTCAAATAATTCACCCATCTGGGCGAATTTGGCACCACTCTCATCGTTGTCATCATCAGTATACGTATCACCCCCATCATATGGGGTCTCCTCATGTTCCGTCTCGGGAACATATGTAGAGTCGTAATCCTCGGTGTGAGTTCCATGCACCGAGCTAACATGGCCATCGCTCACAGTTTGAGCCCGATGACCTCCCCGGCCTCCACGGCCTCCACGGCCTCCACGGCCTCTCCTACCGCCTCTCGCGCCCCGAGATGCAACCTGGCTAGCCTCTTCGGACGTCACCGGAGTTTGCCCTCTCGGGTTGTTCCTCGTACCCATGCGTCTACCCTCCATTTCTGAAAGAAATTTGGAATGAGCCGTTAGACTCGTATCAATGTCGATTGACGGAATAGTACAAAAGACACCACTTGGTCCAACATTATGGCCAACAAACTGTTAAGGGTACCATCTTAACAATAAGAGGTCAATAACTTGGTTTCCAACGGTTCCTTAAGTACGAAAACTTTTGCTCATGGTTTTGTTCAAAACTTTTTGATGATACTATATTGAGAGGTTAATTATATAGTTTAGAAATCGATGGCTCTGATACCACTTAATTGTCACGCCCCGGACCGCGTCCGCGCCACGTAGACAACCGCCGTACAACCCAATAAGAACAACGTAGTTCATTCTTATTAGATCATACAAGGCGTCCGTTAGATTCTTTTGCCAAACCGATTCGTAAACTCATACAATCAACATCAATATATATTAGTCAAACAAATGCGGAAAATAAGATATGTTTGATACTGAGCCACACGTGGCAAATACGGGCACGCAGGCCCCCAAATGTTTTAATAGAAAACGTTGTTAAAAATATCCATGAGCAGTTCATCAATTTTTGAATAAGAATGGAAGCACGAACCACGTCTTCCTCCTTGATCAATCACCCTAGGCGAAGGTGCAGGTAGTAGGACTCTAGCCTCAACCTGAAAAATGTGAGGGCCCCCGAAGGGGTCAGTACTCCATAGAAGTACTAGTGACAAGCAGGCTATATGAGGAATAACTAATGTTTCAGACACGAGACCCAAAAATAGGATGATACATATATATAGGTGTAACCATTGTTACCCCATTCCCAAGATAATACATACTGTATATACTTGTAAAATACTTGACCCATAGGTCGTTTCCTCACAAAAAGTCTTTTAGAGATAAGGTACTTACCCAACCTTTCCCCTTTCATCCTGAATGTCTAGCTCACGAGCTACATTCTACCTTCATAATATCCTACCGAGTTTCGGGAGTGTTTACCGTCCCGGGGATGCTCAACCCCACCGAGTTTTAGGATTGTTTACCGTCCTGAGGATACTCAACCTTACCGAGTTTCTGGGATTGTTTACCGTCCCGAGGATACTCAACCTCACCGAGTTTCTGGGATTGTTTACCGTCCCGAGGATACTCAACCTCACCGAGTTTCTGGGATTGTTTACCGTCCTGAGAATACTCAACCTCACCGAGTTTCTGGGATTGTTTACCGTCCCGAGGATACTCAACCTCACCGAGTTTCTGGGATTGTTTACCGTCCCGAGGATACTCAACCTCACCGAGTTTCTGGGATCGTTTACCGTCCCGAGGATACTCAACCTCAACCTTATTTCTAACCAAACCCTAACCTGGATATGGCTAACCTTTCATTCACTTAACTATGGACAATACCTAGTCCTATAGTCATATAATAATCCCTACTAACCAACGTGGGCGGGTCCCACTTGAACGACCCACGTTAACCTGCTCAAAACTGCCTGTTTTGGGCCTAGTCCAATACCCGGTCGGGTATCCAACCTTACCCGGTCGGGTAGGTCGGGGCAGAAGCCCCTGGAACTGATTTTACTTGAGACCCGGTCGGGTCCATACCCTTACCCGGTCGGGTCTAGTAAGACAGTGGCTTCTGGAGCCATTTCTAATCAATACCCGGTCGGGTATATACCCATACCCGGTCGGGTATCACCTTTGTCTCGGCGGTCAACGCCCGTTTGACCGCCCAAACGAAGTCCGATTAACGCGAAATTTTATACGCATGTACTCCTTGTCGTTATTGATCCAAAAATACCATTTTGGATCCCTGGAGCATTGTACATAATAAGTTATCACATTTTTAATCACCAAACATACAAAACATGCTTTTCAACTATGTTTTATATATAATCATGGCATAAGCCAATACTTGATTAACTTTAATCATTCCATAAAACATATTCTTGATTACTTTAGGTAATCTCATGCCTCAATCAAAAGTTATAAAGCATATAGCCGTCTTCTCACCTTATTGAAGCTTATGAAGTTCTAGCCTTTCCGATTTAGCCCCGGTGAAACTCCGGTGAACTTCAACAAACTCCGGCGACAACTCCGGCGACCCCTTCAACTCCGTGAAAGTCCTTGAAGTACCTTATACCAGTTAACAACAAGGTTTTATCATCATAAGACCCATATCATCACGAATAACCTCTAAAAGGTTAACTCCCGACGAACCCGTGAACTTTGCTCTCAAAGTTCGTTTTGGGTATGAACCAACCCTCCAACTCCCATTCTACACTTTTACATGTGTAGAACTATACTAGGAGTATGAAATAAGATTATAGTGAAGAAATGGGGTTAATGAAGTCATTACCTTATTAACCACAAGTTTTCCCACCTAATCTCCTCTTTTCTCTTCTCCTTTCCCTTCTTCCTTTCTCCCTGGATTTTGGTGCGTGTATGGATGGTAGCAATGGAGTATTTTGGGACCTTATCTCTCTCCTTGTATGGGTTGGGCGAGAATATCAGCTTGGGGTTGATTGAGAATGCCTTTTTGGCATTTCTCACAATAATAACATGGGAGGGTCCCCTTTTTCCTTTCTTTGTTTGATCCCAATCAACTCCTGCCTCCTTCCCTCTTCCTTGTGCGGATCCCCTCTCCCATTTCAAGACTAAAACGTGGGGATGTCCCCCACATAGATGGGTGGTCATCCCTTTATGTCCCCGAGTGTACACTCGGTCCCGAAAGTTGTATTTTTCGGACTGTTTTAACTATATTTCGTTTTATCGGGTAAAATGAAATATCTCTCATTCTTCCAATTATTATTGGCTATAAGAATGAATGTATATTCCCCATCTTTAATTTGATGGTCTCCATAATTTATTATGGCCCTTTTATCTGATATTCCTTCGGTACCGATAAATGGGCTTTATATGTCCAAACGGTTACTCACAAAATTCCTATGGCCCGAAAAGGATACCCACCATTATACGCATATTATCTTGACCCAAACGAATATAATATGTGGTCCCGAACATATCGGGCGGCCCCCACTTTCGGTGTGGGCCCCACGTGAATTTTACTATTCACGTAAAAGAAATGATAAAAATTCACAATCACGTAAAATGCGTTTATTCATTTCTCGGGTTCAATACATAATTTGATAAAGTACAAATACTTGGGGCGGTGTTACAAGTTCTACCCCCCTTATTTGGGATTTCGTCCCCGAAATCCACGTGTCTAGTCAAACAGAAATGGATACTGTTCCCTCATCAGGGTCTCCACTTCCCAAGTTTGCTCCTCGACACGATCACTCTTCCAAAGCACCTTCACCATCGGTACCTCTTTACTCCTCAGCTTCTTTACCTGTCGGTCCATGATCTTTACCGGCTGCACCGCATAGTGAAGGTCTTCCCGGATTTCTACCGGTGGTTTCTCAAGAATATGTGACGGGTCCCGTACATACTTCTTGAGCATGGAAACATGAAATACGTTATGAATCTTTTCCAATTCTGGAGTTAACTGAAGCCGATACGCTACTGTGACACCCTACAATTTTAAATAAAATAAATACTTATATTAATTAGATAAAAGTTTAACAGTTGATAAAAGTGACATTTTTATAATAATTATGTTAATTAAATAAAAATTTTGACTTAAAAGATAAAAATGATATTTTAGTACGTTTCTAACCAAAGAGAGAGACCGATTAATAATAAGTACAACTCGTAAAATCAAATAATATTAAGCCGACTTTTCAAATACTAAGTATGTTTTCCTTTATTACCTACATATACGAACTAATTAAACATCCATAACATGGGTAGTCATAATAATAATATATATACCTAATATACCAGCAATACACACACCATACACGAATATAATTTTGAACCAAAGTTGACTTTTCAACGGTGAGTTAAAATGATACACATACACCATAATTAGAATATACTACGTGATTCTGAATTACACATAACCGGCCATCATAATCATAATAATAATATAATAATAATACTAGTATTTCTTTTCCTTTTAAAAAAAAAGCTAGTATGATACACGCATACCCATATAATCGCACATGCGTATAAGCAAAACAGGGAAAATTGATAAATGCACTTAAATGCCTGAGGTTCGTAACCCTTATAACGTAAAGGCTAGAACCATCCATGCGGCCATATATATATATATACGAAGTATATATGGTACGATCGAACACTGCATACGACCAACGTACCAGACAAATCAAGCAACTGCAAAAGAAGAAATTAAGAAAACAGAAGAAAGAAAGATGGACTAATTGAAGCTGTCACTGCCGCCAAGCGGATCACAACGCCCGAATACTACTGCCGGACTGCGTAACCACCGGAAGAGAAAGAACTAAGTCGTGCCACCTTCGCTGGAGTAGAGGAGTCGTAGAAATGCCACCATCTCCCGTCACCGTGAGGAGCCGCTGACCGTGCCGCCGTCACCATCACTGCCGACGAAGAGGGTATATATATGCTGTTTTCCCCGCGTTCGACAAAGGAAGACGACTATTGTACGTAAACTCTATATACTCTGTAATCTGCTGCTATACTTCTATTCTGGGCCGTAGGACTAGCTAGAATCACTGTTGGAATGATCTCACCTAAATACATAGGTCGTGGTTGATTGGACTGATTGTTATGGGATTAACCGAAATTCTGGACTATGCTAATTCTAACTTGGACCAAAATTTTGGATCGATTAAATAATAATAATAATAATAATAATAATAATAAAGGTAATAAAATTATAGAAGGATGAATGTATAAATAAAGGGTAGTTAATAGGTTTAACTATTATTAGAGAATATTGATTGTTGAATTTTAATAGAAGGTGAATTGAGTGAGGAGCACGTAGAAGAATGCATAGATTATTTGGAGTTTGAGGTAAGTTCCATTGTACCCAAAATTATACCCTTTTGCTTCGTAATTATTTCGAATGTTTTGTCTGCATTTGAGAATTATATTTATGTAAATGTTATTCTATAGAATTTTTTTATACTTGATATGTTGGGTTGTTATCATTGAATATGTATATGACTTATTGTATATGATTTTGGGTGATTTTGTAATAGTAAGTATGTTGATATAATTGTTGGAGTTTGATAAAATGTGGATTTTAGTGTATTTTGAAAAATATGAGTTTTGATTAATTTTGAGAAAACAAAGAAAAATAAATATTTTCATAAAGAGTGGGCATCACGGGAGAAATCCGTGGTGTCGGTTTTCCACGTCCCTTAAAATGTGGAGGATGGTTAGGTCTACTACTACTCGATTCTTGTTGGTATTGGTTTGAGGTGAATTGATGGTCGGTAGAAAACATCCCGGCTTTTGAGTAGTAGTGGTAGTAGTAGCTCCTAATGATTCAATTTTTGAGGTGGGGTAGTTGGTAGAAAACATCCTGACTACCCGGATCAACTTACTAACCCGGAGGGCTTGGAATACCTTTAGGGGGTGTGCACACTTAAGGTAGTTGTTTCCGTTTCCATTGAGCAGTTGTGGTACCGGCGATAGTCCCGGGGTGGCCGTACATAACAACGGGCCACCGGACTCAACCAAAGTGTTGAGCACCGCCCTTCTAAATTACTAGGAAGTTAGTGAAAATTGATTTTTGAGAAGTTCAAAGAGAAGAGAATTTTGGCGTTTTCTGTATCTTTGGAATTATTATGATTTATGAGTTATATGATTGGAACTTTGTATAAGTGTTGTTTTACTTATGATTTACATAAGGTGTTTTAAAGTATCTTTCTCTAAAATGTTTACAAGAAAAAAAAAATTATATGTATCAAATTATATTATTTTACGGGGTTGGGTGGAACTTACTTAGCATTATTGCTAATTTTTGTTTTCTTTTGTTTTTCTTTCTGTACTTGATTTTATACAGGTGATGATTTGAAGAAGTGGTTGACTTTGAGAGAGCCTCCGTTAGAAAGCGTAGTTGTAGTAGTCAATGTAGTTAAATGATTTTGGAGTATTTTTAGCATGTGCACTCGGTTAAGAGAGAACCGAGTGTGGCGGTAACGCCCCTATTTCCCTTTGAATATTTTTCCGCTGCAAAACTCTGATCTTTTCAAATAAAAGTTATTATTTCTTTTATAATAAATCATTCTTTAAATGTATATTTTGGGTGGGAAATTTGGGGGTGTTACATGCACCTCTGTTGGTATGAGTAGTACTATTAATCCGTTTATATTAAATCTCAAGTGTTACAATCACCCCCACTTAGGATCGCAACGTCCTCGTTGCGCCCTTAAACCAATCTCAATTAAATCCCAGAATCTTTTCCCCTGCTAGGTGTCTGCCCGATATCCAACGGATCAGCACACTGTCGCAGGGTTGCTCTACAGGAATGCATTGATTTACGGCTTAGAGCGTCAGCCACAACATTAGCTTTTCCTTCATGGTATTGAATCTCTAAGTCGTAATCCTTGACAAGTTCTAACCATCGACGTTGTCGCATATTGAGCTCCTTTTGCGTGAATATGTATTTGAGGCTCTTATGATCAGTGTAAATTTTGCATCGTGCCCCATACAGGTAGTGCCTCCATAGTTTTAAGGCAAAAATCACCGCAGCTAGCTCCAGATCATGCGTAGGGTAATTGAAGCACCTAGACCTGATAGAGTTCTCGTACAACAACAGTTACCATGCAAGCATCAAGATGGCTCCGTACGAGGCTCTATATGGTCAAAAGTGTAGAAGCCCATTATGCTGGAGTGATATGGCGGACAAAGTCGTCTTAGGACCGCAATACTTACAAGACACCATGGAAAAAGTCAAGCTCATTCAAGCAAGGATGAAGGCATCACAAGACAGGCAGAAATCATATGCGGACCTAGGAAGAAAACCAGCCGAATTCGAGGTGGGAGAAAAAGTCCTACTCAAAATCTCCCCGACAAAGGGAGTAATGAGATTTGGGAAGAAGGGCAAGTTGAGTCCTCGATTCATCGGACCTTATGAGATTTTGGAGAGGGTGGGAAGAGTAGCCTACAGACTGGCTTTACCCATCGAATTAGACAAGGTATGAAGCGTTCAAACTCTTTAACCTTGTTATAAATCTAAAAATACTAACGTACAATATATTAGGTACACAACGTCTTCCACATATCTCAGTTAAAGAAGTACGTCCGTGACGAGTCTCACCTTATCAATCCGGAGGTAAGAACTTCAACCTTAAAACTCTCGAAACCCAAAATTAGACATTGCAATTAATAGGTACTCTATTAGGTGGTCGAGTTGGATGAGACTTTAACTTATGAGGAGAGGCCTGTCAAGATTATTGACAGCAAGACACGTGAGACCAGAAGAAAGGCGGTTAAAATGGTGAAAGTTTTATGGTCAAACCATTTGGCCGAAAACGCCACTTGGGAGACCGAAGATGACATGCGAAGCCGTTATCCTGAGTTATTTGATTAAGGTAAAATTCTAGTTACGGGGACGTAACCTCTCTTTAGGGGGGTAGG